TGAGGCTGCAGACAGACTGCTGCCTCATTCCTCCACTATCATTATGAATCACTTCTGACAAGTTTTCCTGACACTAAGAAAAAAATGGTGACCGGGGAGGGACCTCCAGCTGATTGACAGCCTCAGCTATGTTCCTGTGAGCTGTGTGAAGGAGAGATGCCCCTTCCCTTCAATTTGCTCTAAGCTCTCCTCACTGAGCTCTGCAAGGTGTAATTTCACTTCTCCGCCCCTTGCTTTCTGAACTCTCAGACAAGCTTTATAAATTCAGCACTTTGAATGGATGTAAAGAAAAGAGGGCTGCAGATAAACAAGTACAACTTATGTAGGAGGATTTGTTTCATCTCTGTGTCTCACCTGAGGCCAGTCACTTCACTGGGTACATGTAAGAGTTTACAGCCACTATAAGGAAGGTCTCTTATCTCAATATTACAGTGTTACTAAACCCTGGACCCTGCATTCACTATATCTGGTCTCCCTGGACCCTGCATTCACTATATCTGTTCTCCCCGGACCCTGCATTCACTATATCTGGTCTCCCTGGACCCTGCATTCACTATATCTGGTCTCCCCCGGACCCTGCATTCACTATATCGGTCTCCAAGGACCCTGCATTCACTATATCTGGTCTCCCCGGACCCTGCATTCACTATATCTGGTCTCCCCGGACCCTGCATTCACTATATCTGGTCTCCCCGGACCCTGCATTCACTATATCTGGTCTCCCCAGACCCTGCATTCACTATATCTGGTCTCCCCGGACCCTGCATTCACTATATCCGGTGTCCCCGGACCCTGCATTCACTATATCTGGTCTCCCAGGACCTTGTATTCACTATATCCATCCAGTCTCCCCGGACCCTGCGTTCACAATATCCGGTCTCCCCGGACCCTGCATTCACTATGTCCGCTGTCCCCGGACCCTGCATTCACTATGTCCGCTGTCCCCGGACCCTGCATTCACTATATCTGGTCTCCCCGGACCCTGCATTCACTATATCTCAGTCTCCCCGGACCCTGCATTCACTATATCAGGTCTCCCCGGACCCTGCATTCACTATATCCGCTCTCCCCGGACCCTGCATTCATTATATCCGCTCTCCCCGGACCCTGCATTCACTATGTCCGCTGTCCCCGGACCCTACATTCACTATATCCGCTCTCCCCGGACCCTGCATTCACTATATCCGATCTGCCCGGGCCCTGCATTCACTATATCCGGTCTCCCCGGACCCTGCATTCACTATATCCGATCTGCCCGGGCCCTGCATTCACTATATCCGCTCTCCCCGGACCCTGCATTCACTATATCCGATCTGCCCGGGCCCTGCATTCACTATATCCGCTCTCCCCGGACCCTGCATTCACTATATCCGCTCTCCCCGGACCCTGCATTCACTATATCCGATCTGCCCGGGCCCTGCATTCACTATATCCGGTCTCACCGGACCCCTGTGTCCTTGCCCACACTCAAAAAAAGCCTATAAAAAAGGTACCAGGGGCATTTCATGGGGCCCCCTACTGACCCCAGGCCCTTGGGCAGTGCCCGAGTGCTCGAATGGTCAGTCCGCCCCTGTCTACTAGTTTTTTTTAAATTTGCCAGCTAATTTATGGACAACAGGAAAACTATAGAAGACATAGACAAACGCAAGGAAAACAAACTCCATGTGGTTACAGTCTTGGTGTAGCTCATACATTACTGTCCATAGATCTCCTTGTAATGGGCATTCAGGGTAGCTTTGTAAGTTCTTAAATTCTTTTAAAAAATGATATCTTTTGGGACTTAGCAAATTCTTATATGTGGTGGCTGCTTTTGTTTTCTTTTTTAAGCTTTTTCCCCTCAATTTTCAACTGTTTATTCAGCCATTAACACACTTCCAGTCTTGGGGTGACAGTACTGTGGATAGAAGAGTAACAGGCACACCTTTGGGCAGCAGCATTGCCAACCCCTGGTGAGGTTAGTGTTAGTGGCAGTGACTAACAAATTAAAGCTGAACTTCACCAACAATATTTAAGTGTTTTCAACAATTTTGTTTTTTCATTTTGGCATACAGGTTTTACACAAACGATTAAAGCCCAACTATTGAAAGCAGCCCTGCCAATAGTAAATGGCTTATTTCAGCCATCTAACTGTAACTTTTTCTGGACAGCTTGTTCTATTAATGAAAGTTGAAAAATAACAGACTTACTGGCTGGATCACCAGGTGAAAATAAAGAAAAAAAAGCCTTAACCTCCTCGGTGGTCTGATTATTTCCGATTTTTTGTGCTGAAAGCGGTACCATTTTTTTGCATGGAAATATGTAGTTTTCTATTGTAGGCTGTAATTTTTAGGAATAACTCACTGAAATCTGTCCGAACAAGAGTCTAGTAAACATCCCGGGTATGATAAAACTTGAAACACGAAATCATAAATTATAATTGAATAAATAATCATAATAAATAATAATAATATAATAATAATACATTTCATTCAATAATATAATCAAACCAAAAACACTGAAATTTGAAATACAGAGGCAAATTCGCACATCACTGAGCAAAGTCGCAAAATTGTTTTCAGTGTCTGATGACGAATTTCCCCCACGAATCATTATCACTCAATTCTGCAAGTGGTTCTAATTTACTATCGCTGTTCTCTAGCTGATCTAAAAACCGATTTTGACATAAAGGGACGCTTTTTGGACGCCATGGACGTTTCTCAGTTTCCAGGCAGAAAGAACAGTCAAAATGCAGGCAGGGCGCAGGACAAAGCACTTGGGACAAAATGTATGTGAAATGGGTTGAAACAGCAATGTTTTACTATATAATAATCATTTTTAAAAAAATGACATTTTTAAAAAATTTCAAATTTGCCGCCGGTTCCGGCGCCCGTACGTCCCGACGTCACAGGGACCGGAACACGGAAGGCGGATGCCGGCATCGGCCGGAGGAGATGGCCGGGGACGCTGCTGGGGACGCATCGCGGGAGCGAAGGACAAGGTAAGTGCTGCAGGTACTCCCTGAGCAACGCCGCATGGTAAGTCCGAGTGTAGCTCGGGGTTACCGCTTTTGGTACTGACATTTTACCCCGAGCTACACTCGGGAATACCGCCAGGGAGGTTAAAAGAATGTTTGCTGAAATATGATACATTTTTCTTTTTGGCTTTAATATCATTTAATTATTTTTTTTTGTAATTTATTTTTATTTTAGTGGAGAGTTAATCGAGATTTTTACCTCTTACTCGTAATGAATTCCTAGAAACCTTTATTAGCTTTAATTACCTCTCCTGTCTCTCTTCTCTCTCCTATTTGTGCTAATTTGTAAAATAATGTTTTTACCATTTGTACATGTACATTTTTAAACTCGTGAAACAAAAATAGAATGTGACCGGATGCAGTGGTGTATTTTGGATTTGTGTTGCCCTAGGCAACACAAGAATTGGCTCCCCCCATTGACCAACAACACTCCAGCACACCCCACCCCCACCCAAGAGAGCCTTCCACTACCACTGCCCCCCATACACTGGCAACCCCCCCCCCCCCCCCACCCCAACAAGAGATAAGACACTCACCTTCACAGCTCTGGACATCCCCGGGAACAAGAGTCAGGCCCCGCATACACCATCAAGCAGCCCGCAACCTCTCTCAGATCCCACCTGGTCCCCATGCTGCGTGTGTCCCTTCTTCCTTTCCATCTTTTGGGGGAAAGCACTGGCCCCTGAAGAATGCTGCTGCCCCCCCTGAAAAATGCCGCCCTAGGCAAATAGCTTGTTTGCCTTGTGGTAAATACACCCCTGACTGGATGCACCTAAGTCATGTGCCTCCATCCCTTAATATATCCATAGAAACAATTTATTTGTCCTGGGACTTTAAATGAAGCACAGCACAGTGTGGCACCCATGGGATAATTTCACTTCCTCCCACCTTTCTCCAAATGTACGGTTTTGATGGCCTCCTCACTGTTGCTATGTGACACTATGTCTGTAACCATGCAGATTTCACCATCGATGTGCTACCTTTTTTTTCTCTCTTGTGTTCCTTTTTTTTTTTCTTTAATTTACTGCTTGTATGTGTATATATATATGTGAAAACTAATAAAAATTGTTAATACAAAAAAAAATTAAGCACAGCACACATGACCAATGAATAACTAGTTTCCAACATAAATTTTTAATAAATGAATAAACTTCTCATTGTTTACAAAAAAGAGGATAAAATGGTAACAAGCTGATTTGTAATAAATCCATATTAATGCATTGCATACATAATTGGATATACAATTGACCAAATACAATCCAGATGTCGATACATAATTCCATTAAAATTGCATCCAAAAGCTCGACACGTTTCGTAGCTCTTAGTTCACTTCTTCAGGAGTAGATGCATGTATAATAGAAATCAGCTAAATATACATATGACAGTATTTCCAAATGGTGATCGCCAGAGGAGTCTCCCCCTGGAGTTGTGGAAGTACGACTCCGCAAGAACCCAAGGGGACAAGCCAGAAGCAGATTCAAAGTACGTTGGCAATCATGTTGGCACCCAAAAGTAATTACATGACTTAATAGCTGTACCTCAAAGTGTTGCTTCTCAGTATTCTCATGGAGCTTCAGCTCGAGATTTGAATGCAATTTTAATGTAATTATGTATCGACATCTGGATTGTATTTGGTCAGCTGTATATCCAATTATGTATGAAATGCATTAATATGGATTTATTACAAATCAGCTTGTTACCATTGTATCCTCTTTTGAGAAGTCTATTCATTTATTAAAAATGAATGTTGGAAACTAGTTATTCTTTGGTCATGTGTGTTGTGCCTCATTTAAAGTCCCAGGACAAATAAATTGGTTCTATGGAGACCTGTGAAACAAAGGAAAAACCAAAACTCTAAAGGTGAGCAGACCCCCAAGTCTATTAAAGCGGAGTTCCACTCACCCTATCAAAAAATAAAAGTCATCAACTACAAAAACTGTAGCTGCTGACTTTTAAAAAGCAGCCACTTACCTGTTCCTTGGTCCCGTGGTGTGTCCCCCGCAGCCTGTTTCACCAGCTGTCCTGTATTCCAGGAGGCCGGAATATTCAGTGTGGGCACCTGGCTGTGACAGCTTGCGGCTTCACAGCCGGGTGCCCACTGCACATGTGCGAGTAGCGCTGCACTTTCTGAATGGTCCTGTAGTCTTCTGGGACCTGTCACGTGTCCCAAAAGACTACAGGGAGGGAGGGGGGAGAACAGCTTCTATGTGGTTACGGTCTTGGTGTAGCTCATACATTACTATCCATAGATCTCCTTGTAATGGGCATTCAGGGGGTAGCTTTGTAAGTTCTTAAATTCTTTTTAAAAAATGGTATCTTTTGGGACTAAGCAAATTCTTATATGTGGTGGCTGCTTTTGTTTTCTTTTTTAAGCTTTTTCCCTCAATTTTCAACTGTTCATCCAGCTATTAACACACTTCCAGTCTTGCGGCTTCACAGCCGGGTACCCACTGCACATGCGCGAGTAGCGCTGCACTTTCTGAATGGTCCTGTAGTCTTCTGGGACCTGTCACATGTCCCAAAAGACTACAGGGAGGGAGGGGGGGGAGAACAGCTTCCATTTCAGATCGCCTAGGCGATCGGACTGGAAGTGGGTGCAGGTACCTGTCAAATTCGGGTACATGCTTCCCCCGCCCCCCAAAGGTACCAATCGTTAATGGGGAGCGTGGGAGCAGTCCTTAAAGCGAAACTTCCCCTTTTGGGTGGAGCTCCGTTTTAAGTCTGTGATCACGATCTTTGGTGAATCTCCTCTTCCAGTCCTAGCAATTAGAAGACAAGAGACTCCATAGGTCCTTAGCAATGTCTAAGCCTTGCTGTCCTCTTCAAATAGGGAGTATCCTTAAACCAACTGCAACAAAAAACAAAAAGAGAGGGTGAACCAAGATAGTACATTACCACAAGGCCAATTAATTGAAGAAATAGAAGTCAAATGTACTCACAAGTGTAAAAAACGTCAGGTATAAAAATAATCCAGTATGAATACTCAAACAGTGCCCATCTGAAAGAGCGTAGCTTACACGTTTCAAGGGCTGTGCTCTCTTACTCAGAGATCTTTAACCTCCCTGGCGGTATTCCCGAGTGTAGCTCGGGGTAGAGTTTCAGTACCACAAGCGGTAAACCTGAGCTACACACGGGCTTAACATGCGGCCTTGCTCAGGGATTCCCTGCAGCGCTTACCTTGTCCTGCACTCCCGCGATGCGTCCCCTGCAGCGTCCCCGGCCATCTCCTCCGGCCGATGCCGGCATCCGGCTTCTGTGTTCCAGTCCCTGTGACGTCGGGACGTACGGGCGCCGGAACCGGCGGCAAATTTGAAAGTTTTAAAAAATGTCATTTTTTTGTAAACGATTATTACATAGCAAAACATTGGTGTTTCAAACCATTTTACATACATTTTGTCCGGTGCCCTGCCTACATTTTGACTGTTCTTTCTGCCTGGAAACTGGGAAGAGTCCATGGCGTCCAAAAAGCGTCCCTTTATGTCAAAATCGGTTTTAGACCGGCTAGAGAACAGCGATAGTAAATCAGAACCACTTGCAGAATTGAGTGATAATGATTCGTGGGGGAAATTCGTCATCAGACACTGAAAACGATTCTGCGACTTTGCTCAGCGATGTGCGAACTTGGAGCTATATTTCAAATTTCAGTGTTTTTGATTTGATTATATTATTGAATTAATTGTATTATTATTATATTATTATTTTTTATGATTATTAAATTATAATTTATGATTTCGTGTTTCAAGTTTTACCCGGGATGTTTACTAGACTCTTGTTCGACAGATTTCAGTGAGTGATTCCTAAAAATTACAGGCCTGCAATAAAAAAATGACATATTTCCATGCAAAAAAATGTACCGCTTTCAGCACCAAAAATCTGAAATAATCATACCGCCAGGGAGGGTTAAACCTGTATGCTGTTCTTTTGTAAATAACTTCCTTGTGTTTTTTTTTTTTTACTGGAATTTAAAGCGTATGAACAGTCATGTGTATTTTAGTTTTAGATAGAGTGTGGGATGGTTAATGGTTAAAACCATTCTCAGGTTTGTACTGTTGTCTGTGTCCCTCTCTGTTTGTCCTGGTGACCTGTGACACTAAGAAAGAAAGTGATAGGAATTTCAAATTGTTATCATTGTCATCAGGACAAGAAGTGAAGGGGACTCTTCCAATTGGCACACCTGTTTTGATGATAACAGTCTAAGGGTTCATTCACACTAGGGTTTGAGGGGCACATTTTTCTACCAGCCACCACCACCATTCCCCCTTTAGCTTCAGAGGCAGCAGCCAGAGGCGTGTATATATATATATATATATATATATATATATATATATATATACACACACACTCACCAACCACTTTATTAGGTACACCTGTTCATTTTCTTGGTAACACAAATTGCTAATCAGCCAATCACAAGGCAGCAACTCAGTGCATTTAGGCATCTAGACATGGTGAAGATGACTTGCTGAAGTTCAAACCCAGCATCAGAATGGGGAAGAAAATTTACAGAAAATAATGCCATTTCGATTTTAGTGTACTAAACGTTTTTGGTCTCCATTAGAGCTTCGGGCTCCTGTCTACTTCTTGAATTGCCCCTAATATACTCTACCATAGGGGAAGACAGATTGATAACGTTCACACAATGTCGGATTAAACTCTGTGGAGGTTCCTAAGCAGTCAACATCTTCAGGTCTCCAGGTTTTTGGACGTTTCTCATGCTCCAGTGGGATAACATTGAATTAAGTAGTGTCGGCCACTAGATGCAGAAGACCATCACAGCTATACATTACATGTACATAGGTTGCACCAAACATTTTTTACAAACCACCAGCTGAAAAAAGATGAGCTTTTAAGAGACAAACTGTTATGTGAACATGACGTCTATGGTTTATGTACTTTTAGTTGTTATTGGGTACATGACATTAATACAGTATTTTCTCTATAGAGTCTTTAATGGAAAGTTATCCTTTCTTAGGGTTGATTATTTTTTTTCTATCTTTTGTAAAGAATTTAAGAAAGCTTGATTGTAAATTTCTTTCAAGATCAAATCAATATAATTTTGGTTCGTTGTTGCGGGGTCCTTAAATGGTATGGGTCCCATAGGCCAATGCCTACTCTGCCTATTTGGTAATTCGGCACTGCCCTCACAGCAGCCTATAACACTTATACAACCTCTCTAATTGGGACAAACTTGGCTGCCTATACAAATATGAAATAAAAACTTGAAAGGGATATTTATTTTTTTAATTATTTTTGTTTTTTTTTGTAATTTAAGGAAAAAGCGGACTTAGGAGAAATAAACTTCTCATTGTGTTACTTGCCAACTGCTGGACGCCTTACTGCCACTGTCATCAAAGCCACCAACTTGAAGGCCATGGATCTGACTGGTTTCTCAGGTGAGCTACAATTTTACTATTTTTCCTAGAGTGAATACAATAGGGTATTTTTTTTTAATTAGGGATTATCAAAAATATGTTCTAGTACCAAAAGAGTATGATCCTGTGATTGTACATTAGAACTCACAGAGTGGAAGTAACAGAAATATTACTTTAATTTCCCTCCTGGTACAAAGACATGCATGGGATTGTCCCTATCTCAACCATTTTACCCTAAAAGAACCCTTTAAATAATTTTCAGGAAACCCTTGCTAAAACCAGTTCATTGTTAGTCACTGAGAAAAATGCCATTACATGATATTAGTGGTCATTTGGAGGTTTGCCTTTACAATGGTAGTTAGTAGGAAGAATTCCCATCACAATGGTGGTCAAAATGCTAACAGACAACCAAAAAAAGATCATTGGCTTCATACAGCTGGCTCTGGCAGGTGGCGTTGTCCCCAGAACTCTGCAGTCACCATCAAAAGGGAGGTCAATCGGCCACAAATCAAGGAACCCCTAGTAACTCATGGAGGAACCCCAATAAAATTAAGAGCATATATTGCATGGACATGTAGCTTGAGAAAGGGGATACATGCCCCAAAATATGTCACCTTGCTACAACATGTATGATGTCATAATGTGGCCACCATCTTGGTTTTTACATATTGCTCGCTCATCTGCTTGTTCTTCCTGGTGTGCTCCCTAGAATACAACTAGGATCCTGGTATCTGACATCCACCTAGTGGGGTCCACTGTAACACCACTGACCACCTGGTTTATTGCCATGCACTTGAGACTTGGCCAGGGGTGGACTGACCATTCGGGCACTAGGGCACTGCCCGAGGGCCCAGGGTCAGTAGGGGGCCCCATGAGATGGCCCTAGTACCTTTCATAGGCTTTTTTGGGGTGTGTTTTGGTGTGGGTGAGGACACAGGGGCCCCATGATCCCCTATTGCCCGGGGTCCCCATGAGTTGTCAGTCCGCCCCTGGACTTGGCACAGATGTGCTTGTATATTCATTTTACATGTCAGTGCAATATATACTTTTCATATTTATTGAGTTTTAATAAATACACTCAGGGAGGTGGTGCTCTCTTTTTTTCTTTCCCTTTTAGTATTTACTTTATTATGCTGGTGGGAACTGTCCCAGATCCTGTATGAAAGACATTGCTGATGCTGCCATCATATGAATTTTTCATGTTTTATAGACTTGTTTTGTGGACTCATTGTTCTAATATAATATTTTTTCCCTTTTTTGTGTGTTCTATGTATAGCACCCCCCTGACATTTCACCTCAGGGTGTTGGTTTCTAGGCATGGTGGGTGTGGACAGTTGCAGAAAAATTGGGTCTCAGTCACTTTTAGACTGAACAAAAGTGAGTTTATTGCTCACAATGACAAAAAGTAGGGAGAGAGGGTTATGGCACAGGACACCCTAGGACGATATGCAACCAGACCAGCAGACTCCAAAGACCAAAACAGCCAGGTAGACAGCAGTACAGAACAAGGGCATTAGATCTGCATCCAATATTCTGTACCTACAAGCAACAGCTGTCTCCTCTAGCAACCAAAAACTCACAGCGCCGTGCAGGGTTTCTTTGGATGAGTCCGTCTTGACGCTTTCCCAGGCTCTCTGCAATCCCCAACTCATGAAAGAGTAACCTCTGATACTTCATCTCAGAACTCCACCCCTTTTCTCATGCCTAGAGGCAGCGGACAGGCTCTCTCTTGCAGAGCCTCAAGCACATGGCTAGCCCTTAGGCTTCAGGCCTACCCCAACACAGCTGTTCCTCACACATCCACACCAGATCAAAGTCTGGGTGGGAGGACCTGGATCACTTGACCTCCCCAAATATATATACTCTCTCCCAACATGCATCAGTGGTCATTCATCTGTAACTTGTTATACTAATGCCAAAGGTAACAGTGCTGCCTACTGACAAAAGGGAGGAACTACAGCTAGGCCAGACTTTGGGGTGAACCCAAATGACTACAAGACTACATTTTTAGGTAGCCCCTGGGGGGGGAGGGGGATTGGGGGGTTACATATGATTTGAGTTTTTGCGCTGGAACCAGTTTGCATCTGGGTATGCACTCTACATACCTGGCTACATTAGGTTAGTGAGGGCAGTTGTTTATTAACCTCTGGAGCAGGGGCGGACTGGCCATTTGGAAACTTGGGCACTGCCCGAGGGGCCGGGGTCAGTAGGGGGCAACATGTGATTCCCCTGGTACCTTTTTCATAGGCTTTTTTGAGTTTGGGCAAGCACACAGGGGCCCCATGATCCCCTATTGCCCGGGGGCCCCATGAGTTGTCAGTCCACCCCTGCTCTGGAAGAACCCTAGGG